GGGCAGCCCTTCAGCGGCGATCGCCCGTCCCAGGCGCCCGGACCCGCTGAACACCTCCAGGAAGAAGCGGGTCTTCAGGGAGGCGTAAATGGGCAGCGCCGGCCAGACACGATCGCGCCGAGCGAGTCGGCGCACCGCGCTGCGTGGTCCTGCATCGCAGCGGGCACCATCTGCAGCACCTGCGACAGGCGAGCGCCTTTCTCGTATCGGCGGACCGAATGCCACGACTGCCACCGGCCTCTGCGCTGGACGTCGACGAGGGACCTGGCCTTGCTGCCGTAGTCGTGAGACGCGCCCCCGTGCCTGAGCATGTAAGGGTGCAGGCCGGGCAGGAACTTCTCGATCCCGAGGGCCCTGGCGGCGCCCGAGAGGGCGCTCGAGACCTCGCGCTGCGTGATCACGAACAGCAGAGGCTCCGGGGCCGCGCCGCTCGCGCGGCCGCCCGCGGCGGCGCCGCGCGCTGCCGCGGGGCGAGGCCTCCGCCAGTCGGGGCCGAGCCGCGCGGCCACTGAGGCCTCCAGCGCCGGGCCCAGCAGCTCCTGCCGCGGTAGGTCCAGCTTCAGCGCCTCGTCGTACTCGGCGGTCTTCGAGAGCACCTCCGTCTCGGCGGCGTGCAGAGTCACGCTCCAGCTGTCGTGCCCCAGGCGGCCGCGAGCCGGGCGAACCAAGTCGGTGGCCCGGATGTGGTACGGCTCGCTCGGGCGCAGGTACAGCTCGAAGCTCAGCCACAGCACGAGCGCCGCCTCGAGCTTCGAGACGCTCACGAGGTAGTTCACCAGCGCGCCCAGCAGCTCGAAGGGGAGTGGGAGCCGCGAGGTAGGCGGCGCCAACCGACGGAACCCGCGCAGCGCCCGCCGCGCTCGTGCCATCGGCGAGCCCGCCGCCTTCGTCAGCCCCAGGAAGAAGAGCACCGACGCGAAGAGCTTCTGCCCGGCCCCGATCCCCTCGCCGTCCAGGTAGAGCTCGTCCAGGCGGAGGACCAGCTGCTCGTCGTAGTCGTCCAGCGTCGTGGGCTGCACGCCCCGCCGTGCCATCCAAGCCTGGAAGCCGTCGAAGGCCTCCACGTACTGCGCCCGCGTCGCCGCCGTGATCGACCCCGTCTCCAGCACGCTCAGGCCCGGCAGCAGCACGGCAGCGGAGCGCCGGCGCGCAGCCGCCGCCGCAGTCGCCGCCACCCGACGCCGCCTCTTGGCTGGCGGGCTCGCCGCGGCAGGACGCCGCCGCGGGCCCCTCGCCTGAGCCGCCGCGCGCCGAGCGGGAGCGCCCGGGCCCGAGGGCAGCGGCGGCCTGGCGACGCGCGCGGCGGCTGGCGGCCTCGACGTCCCCGGAGGCCTGAACGTAGACCGGGTCAGCGTCGCCGAGGCCGTCGGGGTGCGCGGCGGCGCCGCGGGCGGCCGCGCCCGCGCCAACATCGGCAGGCTTCCCGGGCAGCCCAGCGGCGCCTGGCCCTGCCGCACCGGCCTTGGTCCGAGGCAGCAGCGGCTGGGGGGTCGAGGGGGAGGAACGCCCTCTCGAGGGGTTGTCGGCTGCATTCCACTCTGAGGGCAGCCAGCGGTAGTGGAGGGTAGTGGCGGTGACAAGGGTGACGGCGGCGATGGCCTGAGTGGCTCGGAGCATTTTACAAGAACTGCCCCTGAAACGATCCACGGCCCCGGCCGCGCTCAAGGAGTCGCCCAGCACCACGACGCGCCGACCGCGGTGCCGCGAGGCCCTCACGAGATGCTGGAGCCCGTGCAGCACGGCCCTCGCCTCGGCGACCGGCATGCTCTCCTCCGGCCAGCGCCAGCGGTGGCGCCCCACGGTGCGCCAGGGCAAAATAAGAAAATAAAAATCAGCCAAAAAAAAAAAAAAGCAAAAAAAACAAAAAAAAAGAAAAAAAAAAAAAAAAGAAAACAGCACAAAAATAAAAAGAAACACATAAAAAGAAAAAAAAAATGAGGCAATATAAACAAATAATAAATAAAACAAATAAAAAAAAAAAAAACAAAAAAAAGGAAAAAAGAAGAAGAAAAGAGAAAAGAAAGAGAAAAGAAGTAAAAAAAAAATAAAAAAAAAAAAAAAGAAAAAAAAATAAAAAAAAACAACAAAAAGACAAGACACCAAAATATAAAACAAAAGAAAAAAAAAAAAACAAAAACCAAAAGCTCGATCACGTCCCGCGGCACCTCGTCGAACCCGCTCTCGGCGGCCCCCTCGGCTGCGCCGGCGGCCTGGGTCTGGGGGTTGTGACTATGGAGGGCGGAATCCTCCCCCCCCAGCCCGTCGCCGCCGGCATGCCGCGGGGGAAAGCTCGCGGCCGCGACCGCCTCCGCTCCCAGCATCCACGGCGCAGCGTCGGCGGGGTCGCCCGCCAGCGCGGCGGCGGCCGCCGCGGCCCCCGCGTGCCGGCGAGGCGCGGAGCCGGCCAGCCCATGGCGCCACCTCCAGCGCTCGGAGACGTGGCCCAGCCTCTGCACCAGCGAAACGGGGGCAGGGGCAGCGCAAGCCCCGATGCCCCACTCGCTCGCGTCGACCACGATGAGCTCGTCAGTCCAAGGCGAACGGAGGCTGCGCCACAAGAGGGGTGCGATGCCGTCCCAGTACTCCAGCTCACGCCGCACAGCCGGCCACAGTCCGGTCTCCTTGTCGTAGCACTTGCGGACAAAGGCGTAGCAGCTCCAGAACAAGGACATGCCCTCGCGCTTGATAAGAGATATAAATACCAGATGCCCGAGGAGCTTCTCGAGGTCGCGTCCCCGAAGACGGCCACGGCCGAGGACACCGCGAACGGCCAGGCGCGCACGCCGCAGCCGGGCCCGCGTGGGCCGCACGATGCACCGTCCTCGGTCAATGCACCACCCCAGCGCCTCCGACTCACCAGGCAGCTCACCAGCATGGTCCTCGGCCTTCACCACGAGCCCGCGGGCACGCAGCGCGTCAGACACGCGCCGCACGAGCGCCGCCACCCACTCGGAGTCGGTGCCGATCGCAATGAAGTTGTCGACGTACTCCAGGTGGGCGCCCGGCGTCATCGGCGGCGGCGGCCGGCGGTCAGCGATCCGCAGCTCGGGACAGGCGCCGGCCTCGACGCTGGTGCGCTCGTGCACGCGCTGGCACCACCACAGCGCCCAGCTCCACCCCATCGGCAGCACGGCCAGCCGCGGCGTGACAAGAGCGCCCCGGCCGAGTGGCTTCCCGCCGAGGAGCTTGAGGCCCACCGCCGAGGCGCGCACGGGCCGGAAGGAGAAGTACCCCCTCAGCTCCTCAGGCAAGCCCATGTGGTAGAACGCGTCGCTGAGGTCGGCACCCTGGATGTGGAGCTCGTCGTTGAGGCCGAGCTCCAACCTCGAAAGGGCATCGCCCGTGCACAGGCTCACCCCGGCCGGCTCGGCGAACCAAGCGTTGGCCCTCCGGCAGTCTATCACCATGCGCAGCCTCTGGTCCTTCTTCTCCACGAAGAAGGCCTCGACGGACTCGATGCCAGACTCGGCGAAATCGACGAGGCCACGCGCCTGCAACATACGAATGAATTCCTCATAAGCACCCCGACGCCGCAAGGCGGGGTCAGAGTACGCCCGCTCCAGCCCCACGCCCTGCAGTCGCTGCTTCGCCCTCTCGGAGCACAGCAAATTCTGTGATATAAAATCCTTCACGGTGTCACTCCCGCCGCTCCCCCACAGAGTCTCCAGCGGAATCGGCCGAACCGTACCAGAGGGCAGTGAGATCGCGTCGGGGCGGTAGGATCCGAGCTTGGCAGAGTCCACGTCGTACCAGCTCGCCACGCGAAGCTTCCGAAGAGCCTCTGCGGGGGTGAGCCCCGGGGGCGGCGCTCCCAGGGCCCGCGCCGACTCCTCGACGAAGTCGATGGCCTCGCGCTGGGCGCGCGAGACGAAAGCACAGGCTGGCGCGCCCTGGCCAAGAGCCGGCTGAGGCGCATGCGAGAACATCCCGTTGAGGCTGCGCACCGCTCGGTCACAGTCCAGCTCCACAGCAGCACGCGCGCCAACCCGCTGCCGCACCGACCGGCTAACAGCACCTGCCTCTCCGGAGAAAGCGCCGACTGGCCGACGTGGCAGAGGAAAAAGGTCGCGAGGAACATGTCGGTCGTCACCCGCGTCAAAACTGCGGCCACCAGCGGGGGGCGGCCTGGGGCTCGGCAGGCGGCTGGGCCCCGCCCCTGAAGGGCCCAGCCGGCGCGAGTCAGGAGTCATTTCTCCTTGGGCCCTTTGCGGAGGGCCTCCCGTTCTTCTCGTGCAACTCTCAGGTTCTTGGCCAGCTTCGCCTCCCGCTCCACCTCGGTGCGGACGTAGTCCAGCAGCTCCGGGCAGATCATGAGCGTCGCCGACGCCCTCGTGGTCCCCGCGAACGCGTGCTGCTCCTCCAACGACATCTTCCCCTGGTAGCTCTTCGACTCCGCCTCCCTCGCCCGCTCGGAGTGGCCGAACTCTATCGTCTGGAGCCGCCGGAACTGGTACTCGACCATGATCAGGTTGCTCCCGTCCAGCTGGTCCACCAGCAGCCCCTGGGTCAGGGCCTGGCATATGTTGAAGTGCTCGAAGACCCCCCACGAGTTCCAGTCGAGACGGCAGGCCGTCTTGAAACGTTCGTGGTGGCCCAGCAGCCCACTCCCCTCCTGGTTGATGAACTCTATGCACCACAAGCTGGAGCGCGGCCCCGGCAGCTGCCAGTCGGCCCCGAAGCTCTCCTGCTTCAGCACGGCCGTCATCTCCGCCCAGGTCCGCTCCCGCCTGTCCTGGCGGTTGCGGCGGATCGGTGTGATCCGCGCATCCGTCGCGACCGCCCGATCGAAGAACTCGGCCTCGTCGGCCGGGTCCACGTGCTCGACGAAGATCCCGACGCCATCCGGGAGTATGTGGATGTCACGCTTGCCGACGGCCAGCCCGCTCCGCGCGTGGTCAGTCACGACGTCGCCGTACCGGAAGGGCCCGGCCGCCATCGCCGCACGCCACTCGGCGACAGGAGCCCCCGCGGCAGCGCCTGGCGCAGCCCCCTGCAGAGGCCCGATGCGAGGAGCCCGCGGCGCAGCCGCAGCCCCGCCCGGCACCGGCAGCGGCCGCAAGAAGACGAGGTTCGCCAGCAGCCCCGGATCGCCCCGAGCGGCGGCGATCCGCTGGCACTCGGCCTGGGCCTCGGCCTGGGCGTCAGCCAGCGCCCGCGCCCGCTCCTGAGCTGTCGGCTGCTGCCTGAAGCGGCACACCCGCTCAGGAGGCACCCCAGCGGGCACCGCGGCCCACGCCCCGGAGAAGCGGACGGCGGCCACATCCACGCTGTCGTCCCCGTAGTCCTCCGCGTAGACGTCGCCGTCCGGGGTCAGGATGACGCAGCTAGAATCCGACAACCCCACGAGCCCCAGGATCAGCCTCTGGTGCCACAAGTGCTCGTCGTCGGCGTACAGGACGAAGGCCCACTCCCTCGCCCTCGGCGGCGCCGCTGCCATCCTCGCCCTTCGTCAGCCGCCTGGCGCAGCTCAGCCCCCCGCGCACCACCGCCTGGCCGAGCACGCCGAGGAGGCACCCCAGCAGCACGCCGAACACCAGCCACCACCCTGGCCCCAGCCCGCCCCAGGCCGGGGCGCCGCCGCGCTCGACCTCCGTCGGCGCGGGGCAGCTCTGGCTCTCCGGCGGGGGCCAGGCCGGCGCTGCCGGCGCGGCGGCCCCGCCCGGGCAGCCCGGGCACGCCGGGCACGGCGGGCACGAGCACGAAGCCAGTGCCGGGCAAGTCGGGCACGCCGCGCAGTGGCAGTCGGGCACCGCGGGGCAGGCGGGGCACCGCGACAGGTAGGCGCCCGCCACGCCGCCCGCCCACTCCAGGACACGCACGGCGAAGGGCCCAGCCATGCGAGAGGCCCGACGCCCTGCTTTGCTTTGAGCCACCGTGTTGACGGATGAGACCAGAGGCAAACGAGGACCTCAGGACGAGCGGCCTTCACCGAAACGCGTGCCGAGATTTCCGTACAAGTACAACGCATATATACACATATACATACATACATATATATATATATATATATATATATATATATATATAGAAGTCAAAAACCAGTCTAGGTAACAGGATGTCGCGTTCGCTTGATGCTGCCTTGAATCCTATTAACTAGAGTTTCTATGGAAGAGCATTCTGCCTTTTTTTCCAGCGGTCCAGCGGGCTCCCAGTCGCGGCCAAGTTGCCGCGGCAATGGCGTAGATATGGATGCGAAACCCACGGCGGGCCCCAGGCCATCGCGGCGTCGCGAAGGAGAGAGGCGCCCCCTGGGAAGGGGGGGGAGGGGGGGCGCGCACGCGCAAAGTGCGACGCGACGGAGCCACTGCAGAAGTGGTGACGGTTCTCACGGGAGACGCCATCTATCCCAAGCCCCGTTGCGGCCGCCCCGCTTGCCGCCCTTCTTGCCCCCCCCCCCCCCCTTGCGCTGCTGCTGGCTATCCATGTATTGCTTCCGCTTATCCTCCTAGTTTCCCTTCCGCTTCGCCCCCCGTCTCTCTCTCCCTCTCTCTCTCTCTCTCTCTCTCTCTCTCTCTCTCTCTCTCTCTCTTCTCTCTCTCTCTCTCTCTCTTTCTCTCTCTCTCTCCTTTTTTTTGTTTTTTTTGTTTTTGTTTCTCTCTCTCTCTCCTCTCTCTCTCTTCTCTCTCTCTTCCTCTCTCTCTCTCTCTCTCTCTCTCTCTCCTCTTCTCTACTTCTCTCTTCTCTCCTCCTCTCTCTCTCTCTTCTGTCTCTCTCTCTCTCTCTCTCTCTCTCTCTCTCTCTCTCTCCAGCTTCAGCTTCCCCCCCTCCGGCATCAGACCCGAGTCCTCTTCGCCCTTCCTCTCAGCTTCTGCTCCCTGGCAGTCCTCTCGCATAGTTTCCTCTCTTCCTCTGCCTTCCGATCCTCCTCGTCTGTCTTCCGTTGTTGCTCCTCTTGTGCGTGCATCCGCCCCCCTCAGCCTTCCCCTCCCTCGTTCTCCTCTTTCTGCTCTCTCTCCGCTCGAGCCCTCTCCTGCTCCTCAGCTGCCGTGGCCAGAGAAGCAGCCGCGGCCGCCTCAACAGGGCTCGCATTGCTCCCGCAACAACCCCCGCTGCCCGCGCGCCTCGCCTCAGCTCGTCTTCTTGCGCTCTCGCTCGGCATGCCTGTCCTCCTCCTCCTCATTGCGTTTCCGAGTCGCTTCGGTTGCGCCCCTGGCTCCCTCCTCTCGCAACCTCATCACGGCAGCCTCTCATGTCTCCTCGTGCCTCTGCCCGTCGCGCACCTCCGCCTGCTTCCTCTCCAGCCCGACGCGTCGGAAAGCATCGGCCGCTCGGCTTGCGGCGCCCACCCCTGCTTCTTCCAAGACGTGCCGTACTTGCTTCGCCATGTCTGCTCGCTCCCACCTCTCGCCGGCCCGCTTTCGAATCCGCCTGCCAGATCGCTTCCACTCTCTCCTGCTTCTGCATCAGCCCCTGCTCTTCCTCGCGACGCCAGGCTTCTTCCTGCCCCCTTCCGCGCAAGATCCCCCAGAGCTCTCCTTTGCACCTCCTCGCGCGAAGCCTCGCCAGGGTGTCGCGCCCCCTCTAATTGGGCCCCTCCGTCTCAGCTCCGCTGGCGCCGTCGAGGTTCGCTTCGGGGCTGAGCGGGGCCCACTCGCAGATCTCGGTTTGCGCTGCTGCGTCGCGCGTCGCAGGGGTCGTCGCGCGCGGGCCCCCCATCGCCCCCTCCTGCTTCTGCCTTGTCGGCCAAGTCCTGAAGGTCGCGGGGGCGCGCCCCGAGCTGAGGGGCACATGGCGCAAGAAGGGGCGGGGAGGAAGCACCCCTAGCACGGGGGGGGGCGGGGGGGGGCGCGGGGCCAGGGCCCCCTAACGCAAGCGCGTTTGATGTCATGGGCCTCTCGTGTCCTCGGCGATGTCCGCAATAGCTTGCGCGCCCCTATCCATCTTCGGTTTGCTGTCACTCCGGGGGGGGGGGGGGGGGGGGGGAGTTCCTCCTCGTCCTCTCGCTCCCCCCCCCCCCCCCTCGTCTCCCTCCAAGCCCCTCTCCTCCCCCTCCTCTTCCTCCTCCTTCCCCCCACACCTCTCCTCCTCCTCCTCCTCCTCCTCCTCCTCCTACTCCTCCTCCTCATGATCTGCTCCTGCCCCTCCTCCTTCGCCTGCTTCTCCCCCGCCCCCCCCCCCTTCCCCTCGAGAAAAGCTTGCCATGTTAAACGCTGGTCTCGCGTGTTGCGAGCTCCGCATATGAAGCTCTGCGCGTCAAAACCTGTCAGACACTCGGTCTGCGAAAGGGTGCAAGCGCATGGGGGCCCATGCGTGGGAAGGGCGTGCAATGGATTTCTCGCAGGGGCCGCCGCGCGCGCTCGATCTCGGGCACGCCGCCGCGATGGCGGCAACTTCCCGCGGAGAAGATGCCGCGCGCTGTCAGCCAGCGGCTGGCGATGTTCCTGGCAGCCGTTCGACGCGCGCGCGAAGATCCAATTTCGCCCGTTGCAGGTCGCACACAACTGGGCCATGTCGGCGCGCAGGAACGGCCTGGGGGGGGGCTCTCTCGCGTCGCCTCGGCTCGAGATCTGTCGGCGCCTCAGCCTCGCCCTCGCCCTCCGCCGCCCAGTCGAACCCGTCGCCCCGGGGCGGGGGGTGGCGCGAGAAGAGGTCGCCTGCCGAAGGGGCGCCCCCTATCCCACGGAAGGGGGGGTTCTTCTGAATCCGAGAGCGCATCCTTCGCGCCATCGAGATGACGCCTCCGCGGAGGCTCGCCGCCCTGGCCGCCGCCGCTGCCTCCCGTCGCCGGGGGGGGGGGGGGTGCGAGGATGGGCGCGCGCTCAACCCCTGCTCTCCTGGGGCCGTTTGGGGGGCCCTGGGGCGTTGCTGGGGGCCTCTCTCGTAAAACAATAATGGCTTCTGAATCCCCTGCCCCCCCCCCCATCCGATTTTCTGGCGCCTGACTTCTGCCCCTCCTGGCCCCTGACTCCTGTCTTCCTGAAACTCTGACCCCTGGCCGGCCCTCATGGCCTGCGCCCCGCGCAGCGAAGCCAGCCGAGCAGCGGCGAGCGCAGGGGCGGACTTCGCCACGCGCGCAAGCAAACCTCAGAGACACCTTGACGCGAGGCGCACGAGCGCGATCGTCTTGGGCCGGAGCGGCTGCACTAGGAAACGACAATCGCAATCTCTCGCCCGCGCCGAGCATCGCTCAACTTCCCCTGCACGGAGGGGCTCGCGCCCCCCATCAAGGGGCGCGGCGTGTCAGAATGTAAGACGACGATCAATGATGGCGTAGATGATGTTGACGGTGATGATGATCACGATGACGATGATTTTCCATCGATCCGCTCCTGCGCCAGAGCGTCCGCAGCGCCCCGCGCGGCGGCCTTCGTCTCGGCAGTCTTGCCCTCCTTGAGCTGCTCGAAAATCTTCTGGCCCATGTCCGTCAGCTCGCCCCTCGCCGCGGCGCCCCCCGCGGCTGCCCCCCCGCGCGAGCATGGCTGATTATGCGTGCCGTGCTTCCGCTTGATCCCCGCCCTGCAGTCCCCCTGGCACCAATCGAGATGGCAATCGCGCCCGTGGACAGCACCTCCAGCTGCTTCGTTGGCTGGCTCCTCGTCGCCATCGCCCCCCGCCCCCTGCTCCTCCTCCGCCCCCTCCCCCTCTTCCTGTCGGCGCGGGCCGGGCGCTTCCTGGGGGGGCCCGTCATTGGCGAAGCAGGGCGTTTCCTGGCTCATTTTTTCTTCATTGCTCCTTTCGCCGGCTTTCTCATGGGCCCCCCGCCTCTTCCGCCCCTAGAAATGGGCAATGGGCAAGGCGTTGGACTGGTCAGTCTCGATCCCCCCCCCCATCGGGCGCGCGCGCCACAGGGGGGCCCGCCTGCAGACAGCGGCGCGCGCGTCTCCTTGCCCGACTCGTCGACGAGAGCCGCAGGCGGCGGGTCGGCGTTCCAGTCGCACCACGCCACCTTGAAACGAAGAGTTGGGAGCGGACGCAGAGGGGGGGGGCGTCGCTAGCAAGCAGCAGGAGAAGCAGAAGGATAAACAGCACAAGGGGACGGGGAGGAGGAAGAAAGCGGCCCAGCCTTCTTCGAAGATCTAGATGCAGCAGGTGCAGCTGGAGGGCCTGCTGGTGAGTCCACCACCTCCTGACTTGACGCCGCGAAGAGCGGGCTGCGCGCGCCGTTCTTGGCGTTCGCCTTGGGTGGTGGAGACGTCCCATGCCGCTCCTTGATCAACTTGTACCGCGCATCTGGACTGCGTGGCCCACTCGCGGCTGGGACCGAGGCTGTCCCGCCGCGGCTGTCGTCCTCTGAGCTGCCCTCGAGAAGAGCTGATTTGCCGTCTCCTTCTTGTTGCCATGAGAATTACGACCGCGCTCCAGGATCATCGCGTCCCCGAGGGTCCTTGTGTGGTGTTCCAGCTTCTCCTCGGCCACGGCGCTCCTGAACGTTTTCGCTACGTTGCTGACGCACCTCCTCGATTCAGTGGCCCAGCGATTCGCTTCCTCGGCGGTAAGGTGCGTCTTCTGCGAGATGCTGGCCTTCGCGAGCGCAGTGGAGTTCAGACGCTGCGACGCTTGGCACACCCAACAAAAACGGCAAATTGTCCTTGATGATACGTTCCACTGTGCACTTGATGTAGTTGTTCTCGATCAGTGACACACGGCCATTGACCAAGTCGACCATGGCTTCATCGCTGAGCTGGCAAGTGCGGTAGCGTGGCGGGTCCTCCTTAGAAGCGACCCCCATCTCAACGCAATGCCCTTCTGCTGCCACTCGCGTTTGAGCAAGAATGGCTGCATAACATAAAGGGGATCGAAAAAATGAAACGGAGGAATTTCCCCGTTGAATGGGTCGGACACATGTTCCCCGATAAGGGGGTCACTTCTGGCAAACAAAACATCATACAGAAATCTGTATACATAATACATATATATATACACACATACATCTATAGCCAAACAACCGACCGCTATATTGGCGCGCGCCGAAGGCAATTATATTGGCGAGCGCGTGGGCTTATGTAAAGAAAAAATCGGCAGCTCCCAGTACATTGAAATATTGGATGCTCAAAGGTCTCGGTGAGCGGCTGGGTTCCCGGCTCTGGGTTCCAGGGTCCCCTTTCGGGATTCAGGACTGACTCCGGGGGGCCACTGGGTTCCCCGGATCCCGTTTCCTGGTGGGTTCGCCATATACACTTTCCCCAATCAGTGCTTGCACTGAAACGGTCCTAGCGGTTGGCGAAAAATCCGGGCCGATTTCAGTGGGCGGCCCGATTCCCAGGTTCCCGGTTCCGGGTTCCGCGCCAATTTCGGTGGGCGGCGTGGTTCTTGGGTTCCTGGGCTCCTGGTCGATTTTCCTATCGATCGGTGTCACCATCGATCTCATTACCCACTTCTCTATCGATCTCACAGTCGATCTCACAATCGATCTCATTATCGATCTCACACTCAATCTCACCATAGATCGGACGAGCGGTTTCACGATCGATCTCACGATCGATCACATTGAATCGACTTCAGTATCGGTTTCACGATCGACCTTGCAATATTTCCCACGATCGATCTCAACCGATAGTGATATCGATCGTGAAGTCGATATTTGGATCGATAACGAGGTGGGTAATGGGATCGATGGTGGGACCGATCGATCCAAAGATCGACCAAGAACCTGGGAGCCGGGAGACCCAGGAACCCCGCCGCCCACCGACATCGGCCTGGAACCAGCAACTGGGAGACGGGAGACCTGGAGCCGAACACGGAAATCCCGCCGCTCACCGAAATCGCCCCGGCACTTTCGCCAAATCTTTCAATCTCCGCCAGGACCCTTTCAGTGCAAGCACTGTTTGGGGAATGATGTGTATATATATATATATACACATACATATGTGTATATATATATATATACATAGACAGAGAGGGAGGGAGAGAGAAAAAGAGATAGAGAGAGAGAGAGATATACACATGACAGAGAGAGGGGGGATGGATACGGAGTGGAGGTTCGCATTTACACATGTATGTATTAATGTGTGCGTTCAACACTTGCGCACATTCATACAGAGATAATAGATACACATGTATAAGCTAGAACCATTGCGCGCGCTACGCGCGCGCGCTTTGGCTCAAGCACAAGATCTTGGGAGGCCCTGGCAAATCTTGGGCATATGTCTCGCGCGCGAGCGCTTGCCATAGTCGCGCTCGTCCTCATGCTCAGGAAGAACACGATTTAGAGGTTTTGCGGCACTAAGTTGTGCAGAGTGTCTGGGTTCGCGGAGTGCGCCCGTTGTCCGCAGACTTCCCCCACCACGGCCACATGTTCGTGAAAGCCTTTCCAGGAACATCTGGGCCGCGACGAGGGCGAGTTGCAAAAGGGTGAGCAGCACTACCCAGAAGAGGGCTTCGTGAAAAATGATCGGCTTCCTGGCGCTTTCTGGGAACCCTCAGAAGGGCATGGAAACAATGTCTCGGGTGTCCGTGGGGTACCTCGGGGACTCCAGAGGGGTCTCTCGGAGCCTCTTCGAAGACCTTGGGGATACCTCCGAAACTTCTTTGGGATTCAGCCGACTGGAGGCCTGCGTGTAGTTTCCTGGGAATCGCACGGCCCTCACAAATAAAGACGCTCAGCGAACACCGTGAGCACACGGTCGACGATGGCCCAAATGGCCCCGCAATCGCCGTCCCTCGGTGGCCTCGATGATATCAGCGGCAAGCGGAGAGATTGGCTGTGGGGGATAAGATTCAAACGGGGGGGGGCGGAGGAAAACCACGAAGCGGAAGGGGAGGAGGAGGAAGAAGAGCAGGAAAAGGAAGAGGACGATGAGTATATCACAGAAGCGTCTTCGGCAACGTCTGCACCACGACGACATTGACAACGACCGTTCTGGTGGAGTCCAACTGTACTGGTGGAAGCCTCTCATTGGTTGGGGCACCTTACTAGTGCGTAACCTGCGGCTACCGTCCCGGTGAACTCCGGGGAACCTCACTCAATATAAGTTGGGAACGCCTGCAGGGGGAGTTCCCCGGAACCCTCCAGGTGGGTCTGTTCAAGGCCTGTCGGGGCTTCCTGGAGACTCCTGGGGAGGGCTCTTCACAGCTTCGGTTCGCGTTCCCCCTTTCTGGGCGTTCTTGGGGTCGTCGCGGGCCCATTTTGGGGCCGTCTTGGAAGCCTCAGGGCCCGCCTGGGGCTCTCATGGGCCATCTTGGGGCGCTCTTGGGAGCTTCTCTGGGCCGTTTCGAAGCGGTTCTACAAACTTGTGGCCTTGTCTGGGAGCCCAAAGGGGGCTCTCTTGTGAAGGCTCTTCGGAACCTCTCGGGGTTTCCGGCCGCTTCCTGGTCCAGCTGCTTGGACGTCCTGGAGCGCTCGTTTGGCGATTCGGGGCACCATGGAACCGCCTCGGGAGCCACTCGGGGCACTAGGGCCCCCTTGTGGCGCGCTCAGGGGGCGCCACCGTGGCCCAGGACCCCCCCCATGGGGGTCCAGGGGCACGGGCATGGACACACGGAGCGCCGACCATATTCTATGTGTACATATGTATACACACACACTTAGAGAACACATCAACACACAAACACACACACACGCACGCACGCACGCATACGCACACACACACACACACACACACACGCACGCACGCACACACACACAAACACACTGACACACACACGCACACACACACATATATATATATATATATATATATATATATATATACACATATATATATACACACACACACCTATACGACCACCCTGCGGGTGATAAGGAGGTTGGGGGGGAGGGGCCCAGCAATGGGCAACAGTGGTGATTGTTGTCCTGACGGCGCACCGCCGTCATAACTTTATTGTCCTTGCCCTTTCGAGCTCGCGCCGACATCCGAAGGCACCGCTAGCCGAAGCAGGGCAAACGGCTGGAAAGCCGGCGGAAGCGCGCCTCATCTGGTCAGGGAATACGGAAGCGCTGGCACAGCCTGGCGCAGCCCGTACCCCTGCACTCATCATCGTCGCACAATCGTCTCACAATCGATCCGACTATCGATCTCACATACGGTCTCACTATTGATATCACTATCGATATCACAATCGATCTCACAATCGATCTCACACTCGGTCTCACTGTCCATATCACCATCGATCTCATTCGATCGATCTCACAATCGATCTGACGACCGAGCTCACAATCGATACCACTATCGATCCCACAATCGATCTCTCATTCTGTCGCACTATCGATCTTACTACCGATCCCACAGTCGATATCACAGTCGACGTCATCATCATCATCATCATCATCATCATCATCATCATCATCATCATCAACATCAACATCATCATCGTCATCATTATCAACGTCATCATCATCACCACCATCATCATCACCAATATCACCATCATCACCATCAGCACCGTCATCACCATCATCATCATCATCATCATCACCATCATCACCATCATCACCATCATCACCATCATCACCATCATCACGATCATAACCATCATCATCATCGTCATCATCATCACCATCATCACCATCATCACCATCATCATCATCATAATCAATCATCATCATCGTCGCAATCATCGTCAACATCACCGTCATCACCGGGACACCGACGGGACACCGGCGGGACACCGGATCTCACTATCGAGCTCATCCGATCGATCTCACAATCGATCTGACGATCGATCTCACAATCGATCTCACTATCGATCAAACAATCGATCTCTCATTCGGTCTCACCATCGATCTCACTATCGATTTCACCATCGATCTCACAATCGGCGTCATCATCATCATCAACATCAACATCATCATCAGCATCAACGTCATCATCACCACCATCAGCATTAGCATCATCAAAATCATCACCATCACCATCATCACCATCATCACCTTTATCACCATCACCACCATCATCGTCATCATCATCATCATCGTCATCGTCATCATCACCATCATCATCACCATCATCATCATCGTCGTCGTCATCATCATCATCATCATCATCATCATCATCATCATCACCGTCATCATCGGGACACCGACGGGACACCAGCGGGACACCGGCGGGACATCGCGCGCCACCGGTTGCCGGAAGGGAAAAATTTGGTCCGGCTGCGCCTCAGCCACAGCGGGACACCGGCGGGACACCGCGCGCCACCGGTTGCCGGAAGGGAATCATTTGGTTCGGCCGCGCCTCAGCCACAGGAGACTTTCCTCTCGCCTGCCCACGCAGCTTCGCCTCGCCCGCACGCACGGCACGCACGAACACGAAACCGAAATCGATTTCCCGGTAGGGGGGCTCTCCGTTCCACTTCGATCTCAACCCCCCAACCTCCGATATACACACATGTCTATATATATATATATATGTATACACACTTGTATAACACCATCAACTGGTTGTTGTCTTCCTCTGGTGTAGCATGTACATGAATACATACAGGCATAAATAGACAGGAACATACGTACGCAAAGTTGTAACGACAAACGTAACTGATCAATGTATGCTCCAGGGCGTGCCTGCTGGGAGGTCCGCTCCAAATTCGCGACGCTGCTGCGGTCGGGCCAGCCCTTCCCTGGCCGACGCCCCACAAATTCTGGGCACAGCTGCGGCTGTACACTGCACGGTGTGCGCGTGCGCCCCGTCGGGTCTTGCCGGCGGTGGCCCTGGCCCAAGCCGAGTCAGACCTGGACCCCCTTCCCCCCCCGGGCGGCGCCCTGGGGCCCAGCACAGATCCAAGAGGTCCGTACGCACCGTCGGGAGTTCATGCTCGTGGTTGCTCTTCTGTCGATGGCCTCGATCTGCCCCGCCCGCGCTGCATTCCCGGGCCATAACTCGGACCTCTGGCGGACGTTCGGAACGATCCGGGCACCCCTGGAACGCCATCGGCGAGACGCAGCTGCTGGAGAGCATCCCGAGGCTAGACAACCGAAGAGAAATGACGAACAACATCGAAAACCTCGAACCTCCTTTCGAGACCCAAAGGGCCCAATGAGGCACCTCGGGCCAGGACTACCCCCTGGCAGCCTCAGGATGCGGTACGGGGCATGCGGCGTGCAGCGACCTGTTCGGCCTCTTGCAGGCCGAGAGCTGCTCGGCATGTGCGGCTGGCGGCAAGTCGGTAACCTTCTCCCTCTGTCCTGCTCCCTGCTCCTGTCCGGTTGCCCTTCGTTCTTCATCTCCCCTCCATTATTCCCCCTCCTCAACCCACTCCTCCTTCCCGCCCTCGCACACTCCATCCCTGCTCCTCGTGCCTCACTCTCCTCCTCTTTCTTTCAAGCTCCTGCTTGACATGCTCCTCTTCCCTCATTGCCCTTATCCACCACCTCCTCCTCCTCCTTCTCTCTCTCTCCTCCTCCTCCTCCTCCTCCTTCTTCGCCACCGTGCCCCCTAGCACGCTGAGGTGTGGTAGAATGCCATGTGCTGCCACGCAGGGTTGTTCTAATCTTCTACGCCCCCTGGCAGGGCTCTTCCAATCTTCTCCGCCCCCTCCCCTCGTCCCACACTCCGCTGCGTACATCGCCCTTCCTTCCCGAGGGTTCCCGGATGCCCCGACGCCTCCCTGGCGCAGGCAGGCCACCAAGGCCGCCACGATGGCCGAGTGCTATCTCAAGGGCGACCCAACACCTCCCGAGAGGACATCAAGGGCACCCAAGATGCCCCGAGAGGCTGCCACAAAGAGGACACTGGGAGGCCGAAGACACGTTTTCGTGTTTTTTTATTTGCTCAAGGCCTGTAGCTGGTGAACAGGTGGTCGAACATCGCTCCACTTTGCGGTCTTCGAAAGCCCAGACGACGGTCCAAGGAGACCCCAAGACGGCCAAAACGGAGCTCGAGACAGCGACAAGATGGCCCCAAGAGATCCCCCAGACAGCATGATAAAGCTCCGAGACTGCCCCATGATTGCCCAAACAAGGCCCCCAGAAAACCGCAGCGCATCCTACGGGATCCCCGAGACTGCCCCACCCACAGGCCAGAGCGGCATCCCAGAGACAGCCTAAAGAAACCCAATGGGAGCTCCTCGAGAGGTGGGGACACGGGAGGTGCCACATGTGACAGCTTTCTGGGCGGTGCTCGCGGGTAGGACACGCTGGATACTAATCCCCTCTACTTCCTATCCCCCTTCTTATCGCGCACACTCTCATCCTCCGCCGCTCCTCATCCTCCTCCTCCTCTTCTTCTTGTTATTCTTCTTCTTCCTCCTCCTCCTCCTCCGCCTCCTCCTATCAGACACAAATGACCAACGTTTGGCTGGCGAAATCTCCACAATCTGCCCGCGAATGGTCCCGCTAGGTACCGCCTGGTAACTACCCCCAGGGGCCCTCAACCGCTATACCTGCAATAACTTTTCGCTGAGACGTCCTCAGCGGGCCCGCTAGATACTCCCGGTGGCTCTCCCTTGGGGTGCTCAAGTGCTATGCGTTCTGTATCGGTGTGATCATGGGAATTCTGAATATGAGTGAGTCTGGATACGCCTGTGCTGGGTATGAGTGTATCCATGTGTGTGGACTGACCGAGTGAATCTGATAGTCAACGAGTCTGACTGTGAGTGCCATGACGGGTTTTGAATATAACTTGGTGTCCGGTTTCTTGATAAGTCTAAAACTTGTAGGAGTGTATTTGAGTCTGAGTAGTCTGAGTGCGTGAGCTTGAATGCGCGTGAGTCTGAATATGACTGAGTCTGAGCTTGAATGGTTTGAGCGTGTTTGTGAGTCTGGATGTGGCGAAGCTGAATACGAGTGGGTCTGAGCGTGATCGAATCTGAGTGTGAGTGAGTCTGATTCTAGGTTAGTCTGAATATGAGTGAGTCTGAGCTCGAGTGAGTCTGAACATGAGTGGATCTGAATGAAACGGAGGAGGGTGGCGAGAATGGAAGGAGGCGGAGGCATCACACGAATGATAATAAACGCATCTTAGGATATAAGAAGCTACATCTCATCCGTATCCTCATGGCCACCTGGAGAAGGAACGTGAAAGAAACGAGCCCTATGGAACCTGGAGCTTATCTTCCCAAGACCGCTTCTTCATTACATCCCAAGTAGTGATTGTTGGGGCTTCCTAAGGGGGGTTCGAATAGATGGAGTCGGATGCTCGCGCTCCATACCAAATGCTTCGCCGATGCATCGGCGATGCATGGGCGGTGCATCGGCGACGTCGGCGATACATCGCTGCCATCGGCGTGGAGAAATTCTGGCTCCACATCGCCTATGTATCGGCGATGCGGAGCAATCATTCGACCCCGTTCACACGGACCCCAGTTAGGAGGCCTAGAGGTTTGAAGCCCCCAGGCCAATGGAGGACCCCGGGAGGCAATAAACGACGGCAGACCTCAAATTCCCGCGTGGACCCTTTTTCTTCATGGCGGTGCTTCCCTCCCGGCCCATCTTTCCCGTCTGAAGCCCTTTTTGGGGTCCTCCGGGTCCCACCGCACTACTAGTCCGCGGGGGTCGACCAAAACAAGGTTACCTAAAGCAGCGGTCTGGCGTACCTCCTGGAGTCGCGGCCGGACGCCTGTGACACCCAGAGCGAGGACGAAACGAAAACATAATCAACACGAACCTCGTCCACGAGGCTGTAGCAGGGGTCGACCAAAACAAGGTTACCTAAAGCGGCGGTCTGGCGCACTTCTTGGAGTCGCGGCCACACGCATGTGGCACCCAGGGCGAGGGCAGAACGAAAACAACATCAACAAGAACCTCGTCCACGAGGCTGTCCTACACAACACTTTCAGAACATGAGCCGCATTTTCCGGAGGTCCGCGTGGATTCCTAGGAGTCGGCGCAGGGCCAGGGGAGGCGCCAGAGGCGCCGTTAAGGAGCGGTTCGGCGCCGACCCAAAGGATCCGTGCGAACCTCTGGCACTTGAAGTCCATGCCGTCTTCTGCCCACCGAAAAGAGTAGGCGGGCACGTATACGGGGGGGAACCACCTGGCCCAGGCGCTATCTTGGCTTACACTCCGGGGTCAGGGTTTCTGGTCTCCTCGGCGAACATCCAGCCAGCAGCTGCCGTGTACGAGGAGATCCATGGGACGGCTTGAAGCGGGGTGGCCACGAGCAGCGGTCCCGGCCGAGGAGCCCCAAATCGTGGGCCGAAGCAAGAGGACGAGGGAGGAGGGCGAGGCCAGGGCGCAAGGACAGAGGCGTTGTGCGACCAGCCCCACGCGAATGGGGACAGGGCCGGCGGGGGGGTGGAGCAGCGATCTGAACTCGGCGACGCATCGCTGACGGATGGGCGACAGGACCGGGCGGGGTGCAGCACCCCAGCCCGCGCCAACGCGCCAGTAAATCTAAGTTGCCTCCGAGCGCCTGCCGCCGAGCCTGGCACCCTTTGACGTTGCCCCTGAGCTTCCGATCCCTGGTCCAGTAGATCTAAGTTGCCTCCGAGCGCCTGCCGCCGAGCCTGGCACCCTTTGACGCTGCCCCCGACCTGCCGATCCCTGGTCTGCGGGCCCGACCTCGGCTCTCCCGCGGCCGTGGGGCACGACCCCGGGCACCCCCAGGGAGCTCTCGGCGGGGCGCAGCCGATGGAAGCCGACTCGCGTCCGAGAGCTCCCTGTGAATGCTCTCCCTGACATTGGCCCCGAAACTGTGTGTGCACAGCGCTTTGGTCGACCCCCGCCGCGCAGCTGGCCAAGCCGCCAGCGGTCGCGCGTTACCCCTTGTGGCTGCCCTTGAAACAGCGCTTCGGTCAGCTTGTCGCAAATGGACAACACCCGCGGGAACGACGACAGCGAATCATTTTTTGTTTTTTGTCACCCCAACATGATTCAAACGCATTAGAAACATGTTAGCGCCTCGGCCTGTTCAGCGACACGGGTGGCACTACATATGAGGAACAAAACGACGACAGCGAATCCTGTTCAGTACTGATGACGGCATTCGTACCCATTCTTTCCGTACCCATTTCAATCGTGCCGATTTTAAGTGCGCCAATTGGCGTCCCCCGATCACTGTCGGGAGCCCATCTTGGGGTCCTCCAGGCCTCCGCCCCGCTCATGGGGCGGGCGGAGCTGCGGGAGGCACTCAGGCGGCCGCCGGCGGGCCCGCTGCAGCACCGAGGGAGGCGATCTCGCCCTCGAGCCTCCAGGGTTGAGGGCCGACGATAGAAGCCTTCCAGCTCAATTGGGCTCCGAGCAGCTGAGGTCGGAGGATCGCGCCGTATCGACGACATCGGGCTCCACATCGCGCCGCATCGCCGACGCATCGCCGATGCATCGCCGATGCGACGCGATCCTCCGGCCCCACCTACTCGAAGCCCATGAGGGGGCGTTGACGAGAAAGGCCACGCCAGGGCCGACACCCCTTCGCGTCCTGGCAAAAAACACTACGGGCATTTTTTTGCTATGCTCCCACTCAGGGGGCCTTTGCCGGCCCAAATGGCCATCAACAAATATCCCAAAACGAACGGCCAGTCCGGGGGAGTGGGTCCACGAGACCTCCGGGGGTCCACGTTTGGGAAAAGCTGAGTTTCAGTTCGGTTTTTGACCCCCGCGATGTAGACAATCCTGCTGATGCTGCGTGATACAACGGTGGCGGCGGCACTGATGGACTGAGGCTATTTTTCCGTGGTTGTTTGGGCTCGCTGTGTTCACCCAGCCTCACTCTAACAATCCCACCATCCCACCACCTCAACTCTTGCTGCAGATCTTACACCAATTCCCAATACAACGGGCAATACATCTATCACGAGAAGTCGTGATACAGCCCCTCCTGCAATTTACGTTGAAAACCCAAATGCATACCCTAGCGCAGTTGTTATTGCAATTACCAATGCAGCTACTAGAGCAGCTTTCACCGATGCTGACATCCCCAATTTCAACTACAGGTAATTGTACAGACCCGAAAAACAGCAACCCCCAACAACTCTCCCACTGCGGCCCTGAATATAATGTCGTTCCTAGAGCAGCCAGCAGTACAGTTTTCACCACACTCCCTACTACAGCGAATTCTGCATATCGTAAGACAGCTCATCCTGAACTCCATTGCCGAAGCCACATCTACAACCACCGTTACAGCTCCCAGTGCATGCGATGGTTCCGTTTCGACTGCAGCTCGTACTTCTGCCCCGTATATGAGATACTAGAACAGACCGTACTACAACTCATTTTCAGGTGGTAGCACAGCCCCATCACAACCCCTCTGTGTGCAACTCTTGCTAAGCATCCGAATGGACTTCCCGCAACAGCTCGACACACAGCTTGCATAACACTTCTTACTACAGCCACAGTCATAGTTTCCTCCAACTCTTGGTGCAGGTCCTATTGTAGCTAATGGCAACTATCCTACTACATCTCGCGCTGCAGCTCCGAATGGGCTTCCCAAGCCAAGCAACAGCACAGTTATGGCATAGGTTCCCCAGGAAGCACCTAATCTCCCACCAAATGTGGCCCAAGGTTCAACTACTACTACTAAAATTGCATAGTGCATGTCGTAATACGGCTTGGTTGCCTTCCCATAACCAAACCGCTACTACAGCTTCCGTTGCATCCCCTGCTACAGCTAGCCCCGATCATCAACTTTCACTACACCTCGTACTGCTGGCCCCCACAGGCAACTCCTAGCACAGGCCACGCTACATCTCTTACTCCAACCAGTGATACCTGCTAGTCGACAGCTCTCACAGGAGCCCCGCTTGCAAGCCCTACAACAGCTCCTTCCGCAGCTATTGTGCCCCCTACTGCACTGTTTGCGCTAGCGACCCACATGGCTCTCACTCCAACTATTGCTCCAATTCGTATAATTGTGAGTGATGTAGTCCTACTGATACATGTCCGAGCACAACTAGGATTGCAATTCCGACAACAGCCAGTACACAGACCTCAACACAGTTTTCACGACAGCCCCAACAACAACTCCCAACGCGAACCGATCGCCCTGATCCCATTGCATCCCCGAAACAGCCCTTGATAGAGTTCCCCGCGCACACAGTCGCAAAACCGTAAAACTTGAGCGAAAGATCGTATTACAGTCTACGACGTATCTTCATACATGTCCTACTACGCCCTGCTAAATTCGGCAACGCGGTTCCCACTACGAGCGCCGCCTATCAAAAGGTCGTGAGACCGGTGTGGGGGTTCCCTGGGAACCCCCGGGATGCCCAAGAAAAAACTTAGAATCTCTTTGGTTTGTCTTGGGTTCCCCCCACGGATCCCGGGGGGGGAAGCTTATTTTGTTGGTTTCGGGGGGGCCGACGATACAACATAATGCGATTCCCGCGAAAAAACAACAACCAATAATTATTCCGGCGGAAAAACCAGCATTAAAATCTTTTGTTCGGTTAGTCTGGAAATAACCTTCACTGTCGTCCTCGCGATTAGCGAGGCGTCCTTGCGATCTTTTGTGCGTCATTCTCATCCTCGCCATGGCGCAGGGCCCTCACCCGCTCCCCGCGTTGCCCTTGCCTCGCCCTCCTGCTGTTAGTTCCGTCACCCACCACCACCCCTCCTGTCTATTGCAAGAGCGCGCGTCGATTCTCCTCGGCACCGTCGCCGCATCGGCCAGCGCAAGCACATTTTCGAATGGCCGCGTCGGGCGGCCGTTGGGACGACCCCGCGGGCCAGGCCGTCGGGGCAGCCGCGCGACCCGCTGGGGCGCGGGAGCAAGCCGTTGTGACGACCCCGCAGGCGCCGAGCTAGTCACGGCCGCGCTCAAGCGGGAGGCAGCGCGAAGCCAAGCTCTGCGGCGAGCTGCTCGGCCTCATCCCTGGAACCCCCCCGCCGTCTCATCGATACTCTCGCGCACCTTCTGCAAGGACGCCGACGGCCCGCGCTCCAGAAACTCCCGCATGGGCGGCCGCGGGGTCGGCATGTTCCGCGCGCGCGTGGCGCAGGAGAGCATGACGTAGGGGTGTAGCCACCGTCGGTCGTCCGACATGCCCGCGCGGCCAGGTCCCTCGTCCCTTGCGCAATCGATGGTGACGCCCTTGCGGAGCGCCTGGCCTGCGACAGCGTGGAAGTGAGGTCGGGCGCGTGAGTCAGAGTGAACCCCGAGATGCGCACGGCGCGCGGCCCCGAACTCTGCCACGTGAACTTCTGCTCGCTGGGCCTGAACATCAGCAAGCTCCGAGCCCGTGCCTCGGCCTGGCCGTCGTCGTCGGCGTCTTCGGCGCCCTGTCGCAGCACTTCGGCGACCTCCTGGTATATCGGAGACTCTTTGAAGCCGTGCACCTGCAGCCAGATTCCCTGCGGTAGGAAACGGGGGCGAAAGAGCTGGCCTGCCGAGCACTCCTCGTGATGCTGCTCGTCCTCGCGGTGGTTGCCCCCGCTTCGGCCGAGGATGCCACCCCCGGTCTGGACGCACGGTGTTCCCCCTGCGCCCGGCAGCCGTCGTCGTCCTCACCTCTTGTTCCTCCTCTTCCTCCTCACCTGATGGGTCGGGCGCATCGCCCTCTGAAGAGCGTATAACGAGGGGGCTCCCGCCTGAGATTTGCTGACAATTCACTCACACACGAGCCTCCCCGCTTGATATTTCCTCCATATACCGGCCTGAGGGGCCCCAAAGAGGCGACAGTTACAAGTTCGAGGGCGACTCGCTCGTTTAAAACATGGATGCGGGTTCATAGGGAGAGGGCTCCCGCCTGAGACTTCCTCACAGTTCACCTACAGATGATGAGCCTCCCGCCTGATACTTCCCCCATATACAGGCCTCAGGAGCCCCAACACGATGACGGTTACAGGTTCGAGGATGACCCGCTCGGATTAAAAACATGAGCGCGGACCCCATAGGGAGGAGGCTCCCGCCTGAGACTTCCTCGCAGTTCACTCACAGACGAAGCTCCCGATTGATGCTTCCCCCAAATACGAGCCTCAAGAGCCCTAGTAGGATGCCTTTTTTTAGGAGTTCGAGGATGACCGCTCGGTTGTGTGTGTGGTGTTTCTTTCTTTTTCATATCTAAGTACAACTATTAAATTATATTATAGATTATATATATGTGTATGGACATGAAATTCGGGCCCCACAGGGAGAGGGCTCCCGCCTGAGACTTCCTCGCAGCTCGCTCACAGACGAGCCTCCCGCCTGATACGTTCCCCACACTCCAGCCTCAAGCGCCCCAAAGTGACGACAGCTACAGGTTCGGGAATGACCCGCTCGGATTAAAAACGTGAAGTGCGGGCCCCGTAGGGAGAGGGCTCCCGCCTGCGACTTCCTCGCAGCACACTCACAGACGAGCCTCCCGCCTGATATTTCCCCCCCATATGCAAGCTAGAGAATGAGTGGGTGATTGAGTGAGTGAATGACTGAATGTGTGAAGACGATCATGAGGATGATGCAAATGATGATTGAGTGGGCGAGTGAGTGTGTGATCGAGTGATGGTCAAGGTTGTAGTGATGGTATGTGTATGGGAAAGTGAGTGCGAAGTGTGAGTGGGAGTGATAACGATGCTGGTTGTGATGGTGTGGTACAAAAGAGTAAATGGGAGTGAATGAATGAATGGCAGAGTGGGTGACTGAATGAGTGATGGTGATAGTGCGAGTGATGTTGATGATGGTGTGGTGATGATGCTACTGAGGTTGATGGTGGCGGGGGTAAGTGTGCGTGTGTGTGAATAATGGCGGTGTGATGACTGAGTGGATGAGTTATGGGGATGAGTGAATGAGTGCGTGCGTGCGTGAGAGTGTGTGGGTGCTGATGTAGTGTGTGTTTTGGTTCCTGCGCGGGGTGTCCAGAGAAAGCACAACCACCACTTTGGATGTGGGGCGAAACATGAGGCGCGGGCCCCATAATGGGGGGGGGCTCCCGCCTGAGATTTACTTGCAATTCATTCACAAACGAACCTCCCGCCTGATATTCCCCCCACATCCTGGCCTAAGGAGCCCAAGTGTGCCGAATGTGACGACAGCTACAGGTTCGAGGGTGACCCGCTCGGATTTTTCGAAAGAACAAAAAACATGCAGTGCGGGCCCCATAAGGACAGGGCTCCCGCCTGAAACTTCCTCGCAATTCACTCACAGACGAGCCTCCCGTCTGATACTTCCCCCATGTTCAAGCTAATTAGCGAGTGACTTGGTGAGTGAATGAACGAATCGCTGAATACATGATGATGATGAGGATGATGCAGATGATGAGTGGGTGGGTGACTG